TGCCAGGAGGGACGGGTCCTTGGAGTGGGACATCATGCTTGGGAGGGTTGAGGGACAACGCAGGAGGGGAAGACCCTCTATGAGATGGACTGATTCGGTGACTGGGGTAATCGGGATGGGTGTGTCAGAGGCGGTGCGGTTGGCGCAGGATAGAGCAGGGTTTAGGGCTGTTGTGCATTGGGTTGCTATGAGTCGGAAATGACTCGACGGCACATAACAACAACAACAACAACAACAGCATTTTTATTTTCAGAACTTTGTTCTGCTGCACATAACCTGCACACGACAGTCTTCTTTTGAAGTATTCAATTAGTGAGATTTAGTATCTTCACTACTAACAATTCCTAGAACCTTCTCATTAACCCAAAAAGAAACCTCTATCCACTAGCAGTCAGTCATGCATTGTTTCCTTTCTTGCAATCCCTAGCAAACACTAACCTACTTTGTGTCTGTAGATCTGCCTATTCTAGACATTTGATACAATTAGAAGACATTTTTGTCTTTTGCATCTTGTCTTCTTTTGCCTAGCATATTTTAAAAATTCACCCAGACTATTCCATCAGTCAATAGTTCATTTCCTATACTGTGAAATAGTATCCCATCATGTATATATACAACATTTCATTTATCAAATTATCAATTAACAGACAGTTGAGTTGTTTCTTCTTCTTTAGCTATTATAAATAGCAAAACTATGAACATTTGTGTACACATTTTTGAATGAACATATTTTCCCTTCTTGTTAATATACACCTAGGAGTGGCATTATAGGATTATATATACTTTCTGTTTAACATTTTGAGGAACTGGCAAACTGGTTTTCCAAAGCGGTTTTCCATTTTATAGTATTCTCGGCAATGTGTAAGGCTTCTAATTTCTCCACATCCTGTCCCACACTCACTATATTTTTATCACAGCCATCTGTGATGCTTAATGGTATGTGTCAATTTGACTACGATATATTTCTCACTGGTTTGTCAAGCATTAAACTATTTCTTTTCCATAATGTAATGTAATATAATGTAATCTCTTTTATGATGTGATCTGAATTCATTTGATCAGTCAGCCACATGAATGGACATTTCCTTGGGGGTGTGGCCTGCCACCAGTATATTAATAGATGTTTCCCTCTAAAGCCTCACAGAAGCCCCTGTGCATGTCTTCTGAGACAGAGAGGCACCTACATTCCACCTCCAACCAGAGAAGTAAGAGGCACCCATTGTTAGAAAAATCTTACCGCCCTTGGTCCTTGGGTATCTATAACACACTAGATGGTGGTTGGTGCTTTGTTCAGGACAGTGAACATGTCAAGTTGAGCCTGTGTCCACAATTCCAACAAAGATATCCAAGAGAATTTTTTTTCAATTTGACCTCTATTTCAAACACAACATAGGATATGTTTACATTGTGAGAACAACCTAAAGTAGATTATTTGGAGAAACAGTGGATTTTTTGCTTTAAATTAATTGTACCAAAATTAGCTCAGCTAGAATGCAGAGGCCTTAGGGGTGAGCGGGACAGCTGAGGACAGTGGGGAACAGAGCAAGCAGGCTCTGTCCTCAGCAGTAAACGATAAAGGAACAGAAGCAGTCAGAGCTGGGCTTCTGTCTAGCTCAGTTCTACAGCTTTCACATCTTGAAATCCATCCAACACAAACACCACAAAAATAAATCAGGTGAAATACCTGTCTTCTTTAGCAAGTTTAAATTGACTTTAAAGACTCTTAATAGACACATGGCACATTTATTACTTTTTGTCCCTGGCTGTTTTCTTTGAAAACCAAATATAACAAACAAGAAAGGCTGAGAACCAACAGGAAAATAAAATCCAGGGCCCCAAGGTGGTGGAGAAGGTGCAGTATAGCTTTAAGATGCCACAAAACTCTTTCTCTCATACCCAGGGTGCAAAATCTCATCTGGCAAATCAAATGTACCAGGGAGCCAGTTCCAGCTGCTAATTATTGTCTCACCTTCCACTCTGGAGAAAGTTAAACAGAACATGGCTCTGGCAGGTCAGAACTGTCAGGAGCAGGCAAGATGGGGCTTCTCTCTTAAGTCTGACAGAAAAACCAGCAGCTCAGCTAGGAGAGTTGCAACCAGCTCATGGCTCACCCTCCAGCGGGTGTCTAGAGGCATTTAGTCACACAGGAGACTGTCTATCCTTCTGGAGAGAAGCTAGTGGATTTGAACTATGTACCTTTGGGACTGCAGCACTAGCACCTAATGCACCATAATTCATTCAAACAAGCTCCTCTTAGAGAAAACCTCAGACAAAGCATCACTTCTCTCAGGGAATGTAGCCAAAGTTCCAGGATTTTTAAAAATTTCGGGTCCACCAGAAACAGCTCACAGCCAGCCTTGCTCTCCTAGAGACCTTCTCTCTAGGGAACCCGTCGGAGAAATCAGGGTGGTGGGGAGCTCCCTCACCCCTTGTCCACGGCTCAGCGGTCACTCACCCTGTAGTAGTCTGTGCTGTACACATCCCGGGACATTCCGAAGTCCCCGATTTTCACCAGAAGGTTCTCCCCCACCAGGCAGTTCCTTGTGGCCAGGTCCCGGTGCACGAAGTGTTGGGAGGCCAGGTAAACCATGCCTGCAGCGATCTGTTGGGCGATGTGCAGCATCTGCGACTGTGTCAGCTCGGTCGGGGGGTTCCCTTCGGCCATCAGCACCGCATCGGGCCCGTGTGCCCTAGGGGAGAGTACAGAATGGTTGCTGGAACCCGTCTCGAATTCTCAGACAGAGGGAGGTGTTCCATCTTCCTGTTTCTTCTGCATCTCACAGTCTAGAGAATTCACCTACCACGTGGTTCTGAACACTGTCCCGCACTACGGCCCCTGACCCCCACCAAAGTGCATGTCTCTGGTCTGTGCTAGGGTTCAGGCCCAGGCCAGCACACCTGACCTCACAAAGCTGAATGGGGCCGAAGCAAAACTAGTGAACTGGCGGAGAAGCTGGCTTCTCCATGGGAGTAGAGAATCAGACATCTGCCCTCCCAACCCGCTGGTAGCTTAAACCTACCCTACCTCACTGAATGTGGCCATGGGGGAAGGAGCCCAAAAGTCCCCTGTCCTTTGCTCCGCGGACAGACATGACTTCCAAATTCCAATTTCTTCTACTCCGATTTACAGCTCAACATTTTTTTCTCAAAGGGAAAAAAAAAATCCCTTCTGGCCCTCCTTTCCCAGAACTCCAGCTTTGCACAAGGACTAGTGTTCCCGAACTTGAATCACAACACCCTGTTTTCCCCTTCCTGGAGAAAGTTTCACCTTTTCCATTATCTGGGGGGTAAAGAGCTACAATGTTTTATCTTCTTTTTCTCCTATATTATTATTTTCCAAGCTGTGTGATGACTTAAAGCATTTAACTGCAGCATGTGCCTCCTTGGAAAGAGGTCTGGGTTTTAGGATGCCTCAGCCAGCTGAAAGGTCCGGAAAATCCTGAAGTCAAAGTCGGTATCACTTCCCCTAATGGCCTGTAGGGGCGCTGCAGGTCAAGAAATCAGGCACTGTGCTGACCTGACTAGCCGCCTCTCCTCAAACCCATGATCACCTCAAGGTACTTTGGAGCACTGGAAACAAATAAAAAGGTTTTTAAATTTAAAACAGGTAACTCCAATTTCAAGGTTCCAGAACTGCCTGAATACTTGAAAACAAGTCAGAATTATCCCAGAACATGCCATATTGCACGTTCCCCAGCTCTCCACCTTGAATGGAATATCTTAAAGTCACGTTCCTTCCTTCTTTCATCACATCCAATTTCACAAAGACCCCCTCTCCTGATCTCCTGAGCAGCTGTAAGCAGATCTTTCATTCTTGTGTTTTTAGGGGAGCAAACACTGCACAGAGAGCAAGACAGTGTCTCGTTCTATCTAATGTCCATGCAGCACCATGAACTTAAGATGATTTGCAACTTCCGCAGGTCTACAGCATCTCCATTAGCCAAAGGCCTAAACAGACAGCATACCGGATGGTCTTTTAGGCTCCTTTTGGCTCTAAATACCTGAATTTCATTATTCTAAGGGAGTTCTGGTGGCCTCATGACAACAATCTCTGCTGCAATCCTGAAGACACATGGTTCAAGGCCACCAGCTGCTCTGCAGGAGAAGGATGGGCAATTTCCTCCAGTGAAATTAACTGCTTCTGAAAACCGACCAGAGGGTCAGGTATGGGTCGATTCCAACAGTATGGTACACAACAAAAACAACAACATAGGGAGAAGCTTTGGGATTTTCACCCAGTCAATCCTAAAACATTCCAAGTCCAATTAGACTGCAACTTTTAACTATCTTCTGTGTTAAAAAACATTACTAGGAAAGTGCCTTGAGGATTCCTCAATTCAGACTCCCTCACTTGGTTAGAAATTCTTGGCTTTGAAGAATCAAAAGGTAAGTGACCCTTGAACTCACAACCTAACTCTTTGGCCCTAGCTGGGCTGCTGACCTCTCTAGACCTGCCTCCCCCTTTTGTAAACTAGGAACATTGGTCAGGAGTAAATAACTTTGCCTCCATAGTTCTTGATGGCCTTTCATAGCAAAAGCTAGAGAAAGGCTTTTCAAGAGTCTCTTTAAAAATAGAATAGTGAGATGCTAGGTGAGTTGTCCTCTGGGTATTATTTTTGTAGTTTGCTTGTAAAACAGGGATACCTTTCTACCTCACTAAAAAATTAATCCAGACTAAAGAACAACAATGCTCCATGGGAGAAGGGTGGACAATCTCCTTTCATGTGATTTACTGTCTCTGAAAACCTGCTGAAGGTTCAGATATGGGTCAGTTCCAACATGATGGCAAACAATAGCAAAAGCAATGAACAACGATGTAAATTTAAAGACTAACATATATCTGATCCAACCCATGCTATTTTCAATTGCTTTCTGTGCATCTGAAAGTTAGGCTGTGAATAAAGATGACAGAAGAAGAATTCATGGCTTTGAATTGTGGTATTGGTGAAGTGTACTGAATATCCTATGAACTGCCAAAATAACTGATAAGCATGTCCTGGAGGAAATGTGACCAGAGTGCTCCTTAGAGGCAAGGATGGTGAAACTTGTCTCACATACTTTGGGCATGTTGTCAGGAGGACTCAGTCCCTTAAAAATACATCATGCTGGGAAAGGTGGAGGCCAGATTAAGAGAGGAAGATCCTCAACAAGATAGATCGGCATAGTTACTACAACAGTGCAATTTTACTACAATTCAGCATATTAGAGACTGGGGGGCTGGTGTAAGATGAAACAATATGCAGATCTGTTGTTCACGCGATTGCTATGAGTCTTAATAGGACCAATGGTACATAACAACAAAAATCCTCCTTGGGACTTAGAAGGTAAGGAGTAAGAATGTTTTCCCTCTTTACTACAAGCAATCCTCTTAGCGTGACCAAGCCCTGAAGGAAATAACCCGGGGAAATCCCAGAACAGACTTCCAGCTGTCTAGGTTAAAATTAAAATCTTTAAATATTTAGTTCAAAAATGAAAATAAGGTTTTGATTTGCCAAAGTCATATCTCAGTCCTCCTGAACTCTGATGGCCTAGTGGATAAGGAGTTTCACTGCCAATCCAAAAGCCGATAGTTTGAATCCACCAGCTCCTCCAAAAAAGAAAGATGGGCAAACTGTGCTGTTTACTTACTCTGAAAACTCACTGGAGGATAAGTTGAGTTGCTTCTAACTCAAAGGCACCTAACAACAGATCAAGTTTAAGAACCTGTCAGATTTAGATTCCAAGAAGAGAGGTCAGAAGGCAGCACTAGTGAACTAACTCAGTCCCATAAGCACAAATATGTATAACGCCATTATTGTAGAACATGTATGAGGATCCAAAGGGGGATGGGGGAGCAGAGAGATGAGGATGGAGGGGCATGGTTAATTATAGAGCGGCACATTTTAATGGGAGGAGGGAGGGGTGGGTAAAGGAAAGGAGAAAGATCTAGTGTGAAAAACACTGTACACAAGTTTTCTAAGTAAACCTGTTTATAATAAAAATTTTATTATTAAAAAAGGCTCTTCTATGCAAAATGCCATCCTCCGGACACCCGAGGCTCGCCCTGTCTTCCTCAGTCCACACTACTATGTGTGGACTGTGGGAGCACTTGTAGCTTTAACTCATTTCCCCCAGTTACTTGTGAGTGTTTGAGTGAGGCTCCGGCTCCTTCTAATAGGACAGGACAAGATGGTTCCCTTGGACTGAAAGCTCACTGTAGGAAGAGGGCAGGAAAGTCTGCTAAGCGCACTCTTAGCAAGAACAGAGAGAATGTTAACACAGAGGCCCTGGTTCCATCTCCCCAGGTTATCCTGCAGTTCTTGGAAATGAAAAATATAATTTACCTTTTTAAGCAAACATTCTTCAACAGAAATGAAAGTGACATATGGCACCTCCCTGGGAGCAGGTCCAGGTTCAGGGGCTTCTGACAGGAGGCTGCCTGGGCCTTCTTACCCAGCTTGCTCCATTCCCATTACACCAGTATTTAGTCTGGCTTTTGGCCTCAAGATATCTACGGTTCAATTTGGTTTTCCACATCAGTTATAACCATCACGTCAAAGAAGTGTGGCATAGTGATGATGGGATTACGGTGTTTGTAGGGTTTGAATTCCAGCTCTGTTACACAGTAAGCAAAAGGGCAGGATGATGGTGGCCTGGTGGTAAAACGCTGTGCTGCAATCCCAAAGGCACATGGTTTGAATCCACCAGTTGCGCTTCAAAATAGGGATAGGCAATCTCCTCCTTTGGAGGGTCAGCTATGAGTTGGTTCCAACTCAACTGCATTGAGTGAGTGAGTGGTTACTAAGAAAGGCCTCATACCTTCCTTCCACTAGAAGAGAATACTACAGAGACTCTAAGAGGGGAAAGTGTACTCTACTTGAAGACAAGGACCAGCAGGGGACCCATCTGTGTACAAGTTTCACTGTATGATTTGGGGCTGGATCACAAAAGAGGGGGATATTTTGAAAAGTCTTTTCTAGGACCATGACTAAAAATTACAGAAGAATTAAGGACTTTGAGTTGTGGTGCTGGAGAAGAGTATTGAACATACCATGAATCACCAAGACAGTAAAGAGATCTATCTTGGAAAGAGTGAAACCAAGTTTCTCCTTGGAGGTAAGGATTTTGAAGCTCTTTCTCACATATTTTGGGCATGAGGACAGAAAGAACCAGTCGCTGGAGAAGAACCTCATGCTTAGAAGGGTAGAGGGACAGCACAGGAGAGGAAGGCACCAGATACATGTACCAGATACATTGACACAGTAACTGGGGTAATAAGGGTAAGTTTATTGGAGTCAGTGAGACTGTTCAGGACAGGGCAGTATTCAGACCTATTGTACACTGAATTTCAGGCAACTCGATGGTACATAACAACAATATAGGACAATGCCAGTAAAACTCAGGGATCCTTTCTTGGCAGCCTAAGTACCAGGTCTCCTTGCAGAAAGAAGACAGATGGGGTTCACAGGACACTACCGTGCTTTCAAACCTATTTCTGGCTCCTATTCTCAGAGCTTAACAGATTCTGGAATCACACAGAGGCGGCTCCAGTTGCTACCTGCCCTGCATGTTGTGCCAAAGAAGCACCAGGTGCCTGCTGCTTCCGGAAGGAGGGAAGGAAGGAAGGAAGGAAGGAAGGAAGGAAGGAAG